GTATCAGGTAAACACATGCCCCCCAGAATGGCAACCACGAGATACTAAAGACTAGGACTGACACGAGGATCCAGCACTTCGAGTCGATCCAGTTCCTCCATGATCTTCTCTACCAGCCCGCAGAGTTCCTCGAACATACGCGACGGTTTACCGCAAGCGTGTCTACAACATTGATATATGGATGGAGAACTCCAAAAATCCATGATGGCTGGGTGAAGAGTCTCTTGGAGGTAGGAAACGTAGCTCGCTATTCGAGCCAACTCTGACACAAAGAATGTAGTGGTTTGATACCACTTCAGATGCTATCAATTTCCAACTCGTGGATTTCTACCCCTTTCTCAAGCCATGGTACCGTATCATGCCCCATTGGCTGAGCTCCTACAAGCGCCTGTTGCGTCATATTCGAAAATTAGAGAATGCCATCTTCATTCCTCTCCTGGAACAAGCAAAGAAGAGGATCCAGGAGGGCAAACACTATCCTTGTGAGTTCTCTGCACAAGAGCACTCTCAGCTTTAACAGCAAGTTCTGTGCCTAGGCTTTACAGCGGACATGCTCCTAGATCGGGATTCCGACAAACTTGAGGATGTACAAATCGCACATAACGCGGGCAATGGGTTCGGTGCAGCAATGTGAGTGCATTTAGAAACCCACAAGTCCCGAGTAGCGGAATGCATCCTGACTGTGTGAAGGGACACAACTAGTAACACATTGATGGGCTTCATAAAGGTCAGTTCCGCGCCGAACTGCAGCTTCGTCTGAGGCCATCGAGCTGATTTCGACTTGGTAGGCCATGGTTCTGCATCCCGAGGTGCAGACCAAAGCTCAAAATGAGCTAGATTCTGTAATAGGCGCCGACAGAATGCCGAATTGGAATGATCGAGACCGTCTCCCATATATACGCGCGATCGTGGAGGAGACAGTGCGATGTAGACCACCATCGGGTTGGAGGCCAGTATGTCTAAGCTCTAACAGACCGCAGGGGCCCCTAGTCCTTTGACGGCTGCCGCACCGCATTCCTTGCTGAAGGACGATGTTTATAACGGAATGGTCATTCCCAAGCGCGCACTAGTTCTGATCAATGCACGTATCCCTCAGCTGGTCAATTGATTCATGCGCTAATCAAGTCATTCAGGTCTGGACCTTGAACCATGAGACGTTTGAAGAGTCGCGGCAATTCAAACCCGAGCGCTTCACCGACCTAAGCACCGCCATAGAAAGCACGGCAATCAGTCCCGACTCTTCCAAACGGCCTCATTTCACTTTCGGTGGGGGACGGCGTGTCTGCCCTGGATTCCACGTTGCGGAACGAGCCCTCTTCATCGCTATCTCACGGATGCTATGGTCATTTGACATCCGACAGAAATTCGATAGTAACGGCATTCCAAGCCCGATCGAACGCGACGCGGTGAGCCCAGGGTTTATTGTCCGCCCTGCTGATTTTGAGTGAGTTTCTTGTTCTGGTCTGAAATTGAAGATTATAGCCATTGACTCCGTCTTCAGATGCGACATCAAGCCACGTGACGACCATCGAAAGGAAATGATTATCAATGCTTGGAAAGAATGTGAAGAGGAGCTTGACGAGGATGGGAACTACACTGAAGAGTTTTTCAGGCGGACATTTAAGAGGAAGTTTTAGGATTTGGAGAAACCGAGCATCTATACGTGAAAGCTCGCAGATAGGGGGACGCCGTGATGTAGAACGGTTGTGAAGAAAGATCGCTGACTGGTATTCTGAGTGGTAAGCATCATACTTATTGGTGTAAAGCTTTCTGATTTGTATGGCTGGGATCAGTATGCCCTCATAAGATGGACGGGCATGATCCATGTAGTAGCGTTGGAAACCTGCGTAAATCACGAGGCCGAGAGTGCTCTTTACCTATATCCCCTTTGACTACCGCAACGCAACGCGTGCTGGTGATGTCCTATAGCAGCATATGGTGCAGCGCCGAAGTTGATACACAGATATTCCATCAATTACGAACTGGATGTACACCCTGCCGGATCACAGCTTGAGGAGCAGGGGTCCCATGATGCGGAAGCCTTGGTTGCACAAAAGGTCCGAAGGATAGTGGAAGCCGGCAATTGCATTTCGCCCAGCGGCCGTCAGTACCATGTTGCGGTGAAGAAGTTCGGCAGCGTTAGAGAGCATCCCCAGACCGGACAGATCCCGGGCAAATGTAGCATCCGAGGTTCATCCCAAAGTGCCCGGTCTCGCTGACTTGGTCTGGAAATCTCGGGCATCGCCTCTTTTGGAGGCTGTTTTCCGAAACGGCTTTTGAAGTCGCGGGTAAATTTCCTGCACCGAAGAATCCAACCAACGGTGGGGGCCACCCAGTCATTCACCCCTTCCTACATTGGTGCGGAAAGAAGCAGATGTTGATCTATGCTCATGGAGCGGGCTACCTCACTGATGGCGGCCACATGAGAGTCACCCTTGGCACTTCTGTAACACTATTCAACATTCAGTCACAGAATTAACATATACCGTACGTAGTCCCGCTCCTAACACACGTTACCATTACTCTATCGCGTCTCACCGTCCTTTGACCCAAGTCAGGCGTCTTACCCGGTTGTCACGATGACTGGCACTCAGCAACTGCTCTTGTTTGGCCTCGTGGGCATTGGATTCGTCCTTTATCGTCTCTCACGCATTGGGCAACGGCCATCGGGGCTGCCTCCTGGGCCGCCCACACAGCCGTTTTGGGGAAATATCAAGCAGGTAACAGCAGCTACAAGCTTCCAGCAGTTGCTGTATGCTAAGAAAGCTTATTCTAGATGCCTAACAGAGATATGTACAAACAGTTCCAGCAGTGGGCTAATGAGTACGGACCAATCTACAGCATCAAGTTAGGCGTGCAGACTATGATAGTGCTTTCAGATGGGAAAGGGGTCAAAGAACTGATTGACAAGAGGAGCACGTCGACGAACGAGCGTGGCTCACATTACATCGCCCACGACCTTCTCGGGGACGGTCAACGTATCTTACAAATGGTGCGTAGACGCGGATTGAATGGGGGACAAGGATTGCCATGAAACTAATGCTCTTCCAGCACTACGGGCCTGATTGGCGATTGTCACGCAAGCTGTACCATCGACTCTTGACTGCAGCCGCTGCCAAAACTTATCTCCCGTACTGCTGAATCGAGAAACCCGGGACCAAAGTTGATACTGACAAGCTGCTAGATATCTCGAGCTTGAAAGCAAGAAAATGCTGTACGATCTGAGTACGAACCCAGATAGTTTCTTGTACCATATCAAAAGGTAGTAACGCCCGTGTGAAGATGAGGCAAGGTGATTAAGGCTGATCACCTCCAGATATACCAACTCAATGGCTATGATGGTCACATACGGGTATGCGATTCCACTTCTACAACGGCTCGACTTTTGACAGTACAGCAGGAGACGTGTACCAGAGTATGATAATCCCACTATGAGGGAGATCCTCAAGTCGTAGGTGTACCCTGCTCTCCCCTGTCCATCTCTAACTTGCGCCCCTACAGGCTGGAGAAGACGTCGAGTATCATCCAAGTCGCCTCGGCAGCCTTGGCCGATGCATATCCCATTTTGCAATGGGCACCAGCTTCGCTATTCCCCGCAAAGAGAAAGGCGATTGAGCACACCAAAACTGAAATGTCCATCTACCTCCGACTGTGGAACCAGGTTAAGAAGTCCATGGCAGAGGGCACGCAAAAGCCCTGTTTTGCGGCCGATGTAGTTAGACTGCAAGAGAAAGAAGGTTTCACAGATCTGAGAGCCGCGTACGTTTCGAGCGGCTCCATGGAGGCGGGAACGGGAACCTCATCGAACAACCTACTTGGCTTCATTCAAGCGTTGATCCTGTTCCCGGAAGCTTTAAAGGAGGCGCAGCGAGAACTTGACCAAGTCGTAGGTGATGACCGGCCCCCTGTTTTGAGCGATCGCGAGAATCTCCCTTATCTTCGCAGCTGTGTGAAAGAGTCTTTGAGATGGATGCCTCCTGTTATCGTCGGAATCCCCCATTGCCTGTCCTGCGATGAGACATATATGGGTTACAAATTGCCCAAGGGCGCCGAGCTTTTGATGAACGTTTGGACCCTCAACAACGATCCAGCGCGGTTCAAAGACCCGCGAACGTTCAACCCTGCTCGGTTCCTCCACGACGAGCAGACCTCTTTTGAAGCGGCTATCAATCCAGACCACGACCGACGAGATCATTATGCCTTTGGTGGTGGTCGCCGTCTCTGCCCGGGAACCCACCTTGCCGACGATATCCTATTCCTCGCCATGTCAAAATTGGTATGGGCGTTCGACTTCAAGCCTGCCGTTATCAATGGCAAAGAAGTTCCTCCAACGCCGGAGCGATTCACCCAGACAGCTGTGGTCATGCCAGAGCCTTATCCAGCCACGATTGTGCCGAGGTCTGCCAAACGCGCAGCCATAATAAAGAAGGAGTGGGAACAAGCCAGAAACACCCTCCTTGACGAGGATTTGCAGTGGCGGGAGATTCCACATGGGATGAAGTTCACTGAGCTTTGACCTTGGTACTCGACATGACGTGAATTTCGGCTAAGTAATAGGGAGGCAATAAAGCTATTTCTTTACAACTGAGGTTAGATTCTCTGGCAGTCAGCACTTCCCAGAACCCGCGAATCGTGCGACAGCGAATAGCTTAGAAATCGTTTGTCCGTAGTCATGCGGGCTAACATCTTGTACATATTGAGCTCCAGCTGTGGCAGCTCCTCTCATGTCCAATTTCGATTCAAGAAACAAACGATCTTCACTGTCATTGGATTCTCAACTCTACTTGTCCACGAAGCGCGGCAAAGAGATCGGCATGATGCCACACGAGGTACATATACGCAGGGAGCACTATTCAATCGACCTGCCCATTCTACCATCTCAAGACACCAACTCTCTCAGTTCTTTGAGAGAAATCCTTCCCAGCGGAGTGAGAATGTCAAAACGAACAGAACTATAGCATGATAACCTTCATATCGCATGAGAATAGCTGGACCCACAATCAGACTGCTCCGTGGACATGAGCTTCTTGCTGCTCGACTTCTCCTTCCTTGCTGTAGTGGGTATCGTCATGGTGATGGTGGTGAAGCACGTTGCGAAGGTGGGAAGGTTGATGTTCTTTCAGATCAAGATCCAGCTGGTTGTTCATCTTGGGTCTGATGTCGTGCGTGTAATAGGATAGAACAACGGCTGTAACCCCTAGCGCAGCTCCAAGCCAGTAGATCGGTCTGCAAGCCGAGTGGTTAGCACTTTCATCGCGCAGGGTAAGTAAAAACATGAGAGTCGTTGGACTTACTTGAAAGCTTGGGCCCAAGAAAGCTTGCTTGCCATTTCCGCGGCCTGGATGATAGCCGCTGTCATTCCTGGGATCTCTGGGATATCCTGAAAATTTGAAGAAAAAATGTCCTGGAGAAGACGAGGGAATGAGTTTTCAGGGAGCCCCAAAGGTAGCGTGGCCGCCGCCAATCTCTGTGGCAGGTCTTGGGCTAGCCTTGTCGACAGTATGGAGGAATAGATAGAGACTGCACAGTGCCATTAGATCCGACGAGCACGACTGTAAGATTCATGCAGTGATACTCACTTCCCAATGCGCCGGCAATGCCACGCATACTGCTCAGTATGCCCGTAACGACACCAAGATGGTCCGAACTGACTGAGAACTGGATAATGACAATGATAGCAATCTCCAAAAGGCCTACACCGGTCCCGTATAAAAAGGCATACGCCAGTGCCTTGTTGAGATCATCTGGCCCGAGAGTCGACAGAAGCCCCGTGAAGACGGTGTATAGGCAAGCGCACCCGACTAGATAATAGTTTGTAGGCTTCCACCATCGAATCGTAGCCGTCAGCACGCCTCCAAATACGGTACTGAAAGTCAGGGGCAACGTGTACAGCCCGATCTTAACAGTGTCTGTTGTGTAGAGACTGGCAATTTGGATGGGCCAAAAAGTCAGCGACGACATCAGAGGCATCGACGCAACGAAGCAGATGAGAATGACGTTGGTGAATCTGTAAACTCATCTTAGTACGTCCAGTCCGTGCGAAGAGTGTCGACTGACCCTTTCATATCCTTGAATAGGAATGGTGGAAATAGAGGGTTCTTGGTTCCATAGACCTCTTGCTCAATTGTCAGCTTGGTTTTCAACCTTTAACCAGCCAAAATACCTCACCCCAAAACCCGCATGCCCCGAGCAGAGCTCCGCCACAGATCATCGGGGTTAGAACCGCAGCTGAACTCCAGGAGTACTTGCTACCGGCCCAAGAGACGCCCACTAGGAAGACTGTGAGGCCCAGCTGGATAAATGTTAGCAAAGTCTACATCCTCCTTTTTCATACGCCAGGTACTTACCGCAAAAAGTATCAAACCAAAAAAGTCAATCTTCTTCAGCAGCTGCTGTGGTGAGAGCTCCCGATACGGTTTGGGCTGATTAACAGAGTAAGCTATATGACCTCGCAGGTCGAAGGTGTCTGGTGATGACGGTCCCCTACTGACCGGATGATAGAAAGCAGCTAGCAGGACGAAAGCGACGACATCGATGATGATAGCCACGTAGTAGATCCACCGCCAACTCAGTCGTTCAACGATGATATGGGCGACATATGGCCCGAGGCCGGCGAATGGCGCGGAGACGAAATTGACCGATGCTATTTATATTGAGGCCAGTCAATAGACCAACTTTGGTGATGTTTGAGATGGCCGGGGTAGGCTCATACCTAGCGCCACACCTCTATACTTATTTGGATAGATTTCTGAGATTCCCGCAAGGATCATTTGATGCATGGCCGTCCCAATACCAAGGACGGTGTTGGCAAAGATCAGCACAGGAATACTCTGAGCAGTGCATGCAATGATGGACCCAACCACGGAAAAGGTCAGGCCGATCAGGAAGAAGTATCGTCGGCCAAAGGTGTCGGAAAGAGACCCTAGAAGAGGACACAATCAGGCCTGTGCAGCACGATGTTCCCAGAGACGCAGTTCGTGGCTTACCAGCAATAGGCCAAATCACGGCTATGCCAATGGTAATCACAATGATCGCCCAGGTGTAGTTGGAATCAGGACCTATGGGTTCAGTCATTCGACATGCTCAAAAGACCGGCGCGTTACACTTACCAATATCAGCGTTGACATAGGTGATGATACCAGAGAGGAGATTGAAGGTGCATTGCCAGGCACACCACGCAAGCCAGAACGCCTTGTACCCGGTTATCATACTATTTGGGTCCAGCCGGCTGGGAAATAGATCAACATACCACAGTCACAGGAATCACACGCCAATTGAGATGAGGTTCGGGAATCGGTTCCTCAACCTGGTTGCTGATGCTTTCGCTGCCTCGCACTTGGTCTATTCTCTCCACTTCTTCCGAAGTTGTTTTGATGGAATGCATGTGTGCGTCCAAATCGACTATATGGTGTGCGTTTTCACGCTGAAGGATTAGAACAGGGGGGCAATAATACAGGCCAGGACCTGGCTGTCAGGGGAATTCGATCATATTTTGACCATATATGGTCCCATGGATCACGGCGTGCGCACGAAGTCTCGCTTTACAACCTGCCTGGCCGAGCAGATCAGAACGGCAATATACACGAGCAAATGCTGTTGCTTCTATGGAAAGGAGCGGTATCTGTACGGCCACTGACCCGGGGCTCCGGGTTCAAACCCTGGAGCCGAGATCTGTTCACTAGTGCGTAAGCATATTCCTGGGGGACGACTTTGGACCATCTTTTTGGGAGTCTCTCGCCGGAAAAAAGACCAAATTCAGACGGTCCGGGTGACTGAAGGAGACATGGAAGGTCACTCATGGCGCCGCCGGTCAATTGAGCGCAGTCCACTTCCCGAAATGGCAGCGAGATTAGTTGACATGGACGTGGGATGCTTCAGCTTCCCCCTTCACTTCAGCCAACGCTACGCTTTGTTGAGCTTCCACCGTCAATGCACACTGGTAATTTCGCGAATTGCAGACCAAGCCCATTCCAATGTCAAAGGCGAATTTTTTCCGGGCGATGGATGCCGTGAGCAAACGTGCCCCCATGGGGAGGTCGGTGCTTACGGTGGCAGCGACAGCAGGATCAAGCTAGCAGATCCCCATCGACAGCGCACCGAACATCGGATTGGATCCGTGACCGGGCCAGTGGTGCTGTGCGTAGAGCCAAACGAGAAGACGAATGAAGCCCACGCAAAAGCTCATAATAGACAACTCTGGTGCGTTGGTCAGACTGCCTTGCTGCAGGAAGTAGGTTTGATACGTGTGACGAGATGAAGACCGAGGGTTGGCGAAGATTGCCGAAAAAACAGGCTGCAGGTATTTCTTAAGACGCGTGAAATGCCTCAGACGTCCATCGACGCAAAACTTTGCGCTCGTAAAACCTGCAAATCTGCCTCTGTCCACAAGTTCTTATTATCTAAAGGATTGCGGATCGACGTTAGACGAAAAGAGGGCAAATCGTTATTTCCTCTCGGGACTGACTCCAAGGGTGCGCAAACCGTACAATGCTGAGTTACATGCATCACAGACTCTCTCCTTTCCACACCTTCCAAAACACCAGCGATGGACTTATCGAGCCCATGTTGTAAATTGGCCACGGAGACATGTGTTTGATCAGCCAGGCCGGGCCCTATCCACGGCTTGAACACCTGGGCCTAAGTTGGCTTCCATGGACCTTTCTCAATAGCATTTTTCCCAATCTCCGAAGCATACCTGGGCATTTCTGCTGGTCGCCGTGGGACAAGGTCGTCACGGATTCGTCATAGGTAGAACTTTAGTTCGTCCGGAACTACCTTCCACTGCATCTCATCATCCAGAAGTTGTCTGGCCTCGTCCCAGAGCCTCTTGATCTTCTCTGCCTTCGCGGACGATCTTGGCTCAAACCTCGCTGGGAAGGGTACAGGCATTGATACCAGTCCGGGGGTTCTCAGTAGTGGATCAGGTAGGATCGGCTGCCCTGTCAACTTGTTGGTGGCCGGGGTGATTTTGAAACCCCATAGGAGTCGTGAAATGCCTATGAATAGGGTGAGATCTGCGAGATGGATGCCTGCACAGATACGACGCCCCGCGCCAAAGGTAAAGTGATCACGTTTGGACACATCTGGGTTTTGGGAAGCTTCGAATGATGACTGCGCATCGTTCTGATATCGTGCCGGGTTGAACTGTCGAGGATCTTGGTAGATGTCAGGATTGTTGTTGACGGCCCAGGCGTTGACCAAAATCTCGGCGGACTTGGGAATACGATACCCGTGATACATTTCATCGGAAAAAGTTGCGTGTGGAACGATCAGGGTGGTAGTAGGGGACCATCGAAGGGTCTCCTTTATGCAGCCCCTAATGTATGGCAACTTGTCCCAGTCGGACATCGATGGTATACGGTCACCTAAGACGCGAGATAGCTCTTCCTGAGCCTTTCGTTGGACCTCGGGGAAGAGCACCATGGCTTGAATGAAGGCCAAGATGGTGTTAGAAGTGGTGTCGGTGCCAGCTTCCAGTGAGCCACCCGAGATATAGGCGCCGAATCGGTCGTTGAATTCTTCTTTTGCCTGCTCGCGCAACATTTGCACCGTGAAACACGGTTTCTGGGTGCCATCGGCTAGTCTCTGCTTGACCTGGTTCCATAATCGCAAGTAGAACGCTTCCTCCCGTTTGGTGTGCTCTACGGCCGTCTTTACACCTGGTAACAGCCACCGAGGAAGCTTGCGGAAAATCGGATAAGCATCAGGAAGGTTGGCAGCACTTGATTGAATTATAGTTGTGGTCATTTCTAAACTTTTTGATTGCTTAAGTCGTCCGCGGTGATATTGGGAGTGTTTAATATACTTACATCTGGAGATATTCCATCATTTCAGGGTCATCGTAGTGTGGAGTGCGCCTCCTGCAACATGGTCAGCAAGAAACTCCCGATCAGAGAACTCTAAACGAACCCGTATGTCATCATCATGGTGAGGGAGTTTGTATACCTAGGGTGAATCCTGTCGTGAGCGACCTGTCATCAAACCCTGGATGCCGGGTGAAGATACCTCTTGGTGTGGCGAAGGAAGTGGTCTGGGTTCATCAGAATGTCATAGTTCATCTTCTTATTTTCGAGTTCAATATACCTGATTCTCAAGTCAGTACATGTGAGAGCCTCTTGGAAGAAAAGAGTTTGGAAGAGCAGGTGTGCTCTGCTGCAGGGGGTGACACGTCAAGACGTACGGCATGTAGGATCGCGTGAGGCTGATGCTTAATAACTTGTGGTACATCTTCCTTTGCTTCTGCCATACTTTGCCATATGGCTTGAAGCAGCGAATCAGTACTGTGCACCGTCTCTGTTACAGCTTTCGCAGCAGAGATAGCCCTACCTGCAGCAGAATTCGCTCTCCATAACTTAGAATTTCGTGGCCAATATAGCGGTCGCTGCGGTCATTCGTGGCTGGCGCGCGCTTGTCAAGAAGTTCTTTGACTTCCGTATTGCCCGAAAGCACTATCATGACTTTTCCTGCCCCTATTATCAGGCTGTAGATTGGCCCATAGATCTTGGACCATTTCTCGAGTTGCAAGTGTGCATCCTTCGTGGGCATCTAAATTCTCATCAATCACCCGCACCATGGAATGCGATAACTCTGGACCTACCTGCAGAAGATTACCGAAGACAGCATTGGTAGGAGGGCCTGGGGGATAATCCTTCGGGCGCCTACCTATGAGCGAGATCCTGTACAGAATGGTTGCGAGCCCGACGACGCCGAGCACGACAGGGAGGCTATATGCCATTGTGCAAATGCTTTAAGACGGATAGTATAGTCTTACAGATGGGAAGCCAAAGTGCACAGAAATATTTGCATAAGACGAGGTGCCAGATAGGAACAAACAAGTACAATCCAGACAACTCGGTAGAGCTGATACATTCACGCGGAGGTTGGAGCGCTAGCCAGATGGAGCTGCGGTCTGCATTGGGAAACCTGGAGTCGGCAAAAACACCAGAATGCAGTGTGGAGGTGGCCGGGTATAAGCTGCTTAGATTTGAAAGGTCCAACGCTCGGAGTTAAAATTGCCACGGCTTGTGCCTTGCATTGAACGACCGATGCAATCTTTCGGGGAGACTCACAGTGGTAGACTTTTCCAGGCAAAGACCCTCATTGAAAAGTCCGAGGGTGCAGTCAAATCCCTTTTTCAGCATAAATCAAACTGACACCAACCTGCAGTTTCATTGGCTCGCAGAGAATCCGCTGGCTTGCAGAGAATCGTGAGGCCATGCTGGACGGCAAATTCCACAGGCGTAGTCTGTTCTACACTCTGGTGCTCATCTGCTTTCATTGTTACCCAATATATTGATCAAAGGTCATCCCGTCAAAGTCGAGCTCGACTGGTAGACTCTAATCAAGAACTCTCACATCATAATCGGCAACTGTCTCCGCAATGTCACGACCATGGGACAACCAACCATCTGGTGTTATGAAGGCATTGGTCCTCACTTCACCAGGAGAAGAACCCCCTTCAGCCTGTTTCACGTACACAGAGTCTTACCCTAAGCCCACTCTTCCTGGACCAGGCTGGGTACTTGTTCGCATACGAGGCACAGGCATCAATCGTGCGGAACTTCGAGGTCGCGCCAACCAACCCGCGTTCCCTGGAGAATTCAATCTATGGCAAAAGTACTATCACCCAGACCCACCTAAGATTCTAGGCGAAGAGTTGGTCGGTGAGATCGTCGAGGCGGCGGATGACACCCCGTTCAAACCGGGAGAGAAGGTCATTTCTACCCACGCTGGCGGCGGCAAAGCATTTGACGGATCATATGCCGAATATGCAATCTGCCATTCACGTCGAGTCTATCACCTACCGCAAGAAACCACTGTCAGCTGGGATCAGTTGGGGGCGTTAGGAATGAGCTACCTGACCGCCTATGGAATGGTCATGATGTCCGGGAGATTAGGCGATAAACCCCAAGGCTCGTCCGTCATCGTCCATGGAGCCACTTCATCGGTCGGCATTTTCGCCCTCCTCATTGCGAAAGACCATGGTGCCACAGTGATTGCGACAACACGTCAATCAAAGAAGTTTGACAAACTCAAAAATTGCGGCGCAGACTATACGCTCTTGGAGTCGGATCTTGATGTAAAAATTCCCCAGATTTTGCCCGACGGTGCAGATCTTGTCGTCGAACTTGTCGGGGCGGACCAAGCCGTGCGCGCTCTTGGATGGACGGCATTGTTCGGCAGTGTCGTTGTTTCAGGCGTGCTGAACTCGTCGGCCGTCATTGAGGCATTTTCTCCGTTTCTCATACCAACCACTCGCAACCTGACGTTCTACTCAGTCGCCAATGATGGCGCGGGCGATCACGATGCCGGCGCTCGGCACAGTGACCTTGAACCAGTATTCGCATATGCTGTGAAGAACATTGAAAACGGGAAGTGGGAAAAGGAGCAATTCATAGACAGTGTCTACCATCTCCCTGACATAGGGATAGCTCATGAGCGTGCTGAAAAGAATGAGGCAACTGGAAAGCTTGTCGTGTTGGTCCCGTAGAGTGCCCAGTTCTGGTGGTCCTCTCAATTGTTGTAGACATCGCTGAGCTGTTCTAACTTTTATTCATGCCAAAGACATTCCACAGACCCTCTTGTTTTTCAATCTTTGAAAATCAAATTTCATCTCAATCCCGTGAGCTCAGCAGTCAGTGCAGTCGCCTGTCAGGGGCGTTAAGAGGCAATCGGTGTAGTGCAAGACATGCTCGTTCTCCAGTGTCCTGTGACTTTGCATACCGCGTTCGACCGACATTTTGAGGGAAGATGAACTACGCTGACCGGTAAAACACTGCTGAATACGAGATCACCCCAACGCTAATACAATGGCTAGGAAGTCAAAAAGCGAGGCTCTTCCCGGACTACATATGTCCAAGCCTTAAATAGTAGCTGTTTCTCGATCATGCAGCTCTTTCAACCGACTGCTACGGGGCGAGGGCTATATTCTCCCCACATGTACTGGACATTGACAATGTTCCTCATCTCATACGTTTTTGCCATTGCTCGCCCATAAACCGTCTCATCATCGTATAGTGTTCCGGCCAAGACCAACAGTGGGTAGAAGTGATCATTCGAAGGGTGCGCTTCCAGATATCGTGGACTATGGGTGATACGCACAAGAGCGGCGGCAAGGTCAGCACCCTTCCCATCGGTTAGCAGATACCCGGCAAAATGGGCGAAATCTCGCAGATACATACGGTGTTGGTGGTGATGATATCGTCGATCGACTTCTCAAAATCTGTTGCAAACTTCGACTGTTTGGACCCCTTCTGCAGGTTATCTCGCCTGAGCAGAATTGGGAGATGGTTTCCACGGAAGATGTTGTGCACGATGGAACCAGAAGCCATGATCAAGATACCCTCTTTCCGAAGACTTCGCAATGCTTGACCCATTCGCACGTGAAAAATGGGATCATATCTGGCGTTGAGACTGACCGTGGTGGCTGGCGGCGTGCCGTTTGGAAACATCCATAAGCAGGGCGTGGTGGGAGCGTCCACCCATTCGGCTGTTGTAGACTCCTCTACATCAGGAAACCCAGCGGCCTTCAGCAGCGATATCACTCGAAGTCCCAAGTCGCGGGAAATGTTGGGCTTGAAGTGCCTGTATTTCTCGCGCGGGACAAGCGGAGTCAGGTCTACACGAGGGTCGGAATTGGTGGCAACCCTGATTTTGTCGTCGAGTTCGATCCAGTGAGAGTTGATGATGACAACCCCCTTGATATTATTTGCGAGTATTTCGACTCCTATCTAACAGCCGGTTAGTGTCCGATCCTGCGGGAATGGGCTTGACTTCAAGAACCGATCTAGACTTGCCTCGCGCCACCACGCTGTTGATTCGCATTCAGAAATTGACATCAAAGGAGTACCATGAGATGCGAAGATGACGGGCGTCAGCCCTTTGGAGCTCGCCATGCTAGCAGTCAAGCCTATGACAATACAATAGTAATGTGAAGTCGTTCTAGGTCTGTGAAGTGATGCCCTTCAGGTTGATTATTACGGCAGGATATGCTTGTTTGCTTCCGCCACGTCATACACGTGGCCTTCTACTACTTGCGCAAGCTGCTCGAAAGTTGGAAAGTAGGCTACTTGACTGAAACCAGAAATCAGGGGCCAGGTGGCTGGGAGCGTTGCGACGCCGGTCGCGATGGGAATAGTATCGCTCTTTTCCGAAACCATGCTTCGTCAGGATTGGAAAACACGCCACTTTACCATATCATCACTTTTCCGAGCCTCAAACCATGGGTGGATACGGTTTCGGCCAAACTGTGTGATTGTTCCCCGCGTTGTCCGCACGTCCTGGATGCACAGAACCCCTGGCGGCCGGCGCTCCAGATGTCCATGCTGAGATGACCCCGGGGATGGCGTCTTTGGACCAGCACAGGAGGTATGCTTTGTATTGACCGACGGAACAGTGCAAGAATTCACACCACGAGGGTTCGAAGAGCGGGTGCGCGATTGACCACTGGGAATAAGACAGGTGTCTATTAGCTGTGCTTGACATTCATAATAGTCGTAGTCCCTAGGTCTGGCATTTCGATGTCCGACATCTACTCAACTCTTGTTCGTATTATACTTGACATCTTGGAGGACCTGAGAAATGGCTGGTGCTGAGCTGCACGCCCTGCAGGATGAGGTGCTGCGACGCTATGAGGAGTTCAAGGCGCAGCGCATCAATCCTCTGGGTGCCTCGCAATATATTGAGCTCGAACAAGCTCCTAACGAGCGCTTTGAGGCGCTTGCTGAAGATCCATGGGTTGACCACGCGGCGAGCAATGCGCAGGAGCCGACCTTGAAAGATGGAGACGAGCTGAAGATCGTCATTTTGGGTGCTGGATATGGAGGGCTGGTTTATGGGGCGCGCCTCCGCGAGGCCGGGTTTGCAGAAGAGGACATGCGCTTGATTGATAATGCTGGAGGATTTGGAGGAACCTGGTACTGGAACCGATACCCAGGTCTCATGTGCGATGTCGAAAGCTATCTCTACGCACCGCTCCTGGAGGAGACTAACTATATGCCGAAACACAAGTACTCTTATGGTCCAGAGCTGCGAGGCCAGGCTGAGCGCATCGCACAGAAATATGGCCTCGTCGGCTTCTTCAGGTCTACCGTCGAAAGTGCCACCTGGGACGATGAAGCTAAGAGATGGGTCGTCAAGTTGGAGCAGAACAGAGGTCCAGGGCAGGAAAAAGTCCAACTGACTGTCCGGGCGCAATTTCTCCTCCAGGCAAATGGCTTTTTGAACCATCCCAAAGTCCCGAACGTAGCGGGCCTGGAGGACTTTGAGGGTACAATGTTTCACACTGCCCGCTGGAATTATGATGCCACGGGTGGATCGCCCGAGAACCAGACCCTGGACCGGCTTCAAAATAAAAGGGTAGGAATTATTGGCACGGGCGCGACGGGTATCCAGGCAATACCTCAGCTTGCCAAGTGGGCCAAAGAGCTCTATGTCTTCCAACGAACGCCTTCAAGTGTGGACGTTCGTGGCCAACGAGAAACCGACCCCGGCGAGTGGAAACGAAAGATTGCGTCGCACAAAGGCTGGCAACATGACCGATGCGAAAACTTTCTAAGGTGGTCGGTGGGCTTGGGCGAAGGAGAGGACTTGGTCAATGATGGATGGACCCACGCGCCATCTTACATCGGTTTCATGGGTGCTCCTCATGCGAAGCCAGTGCAGCCGGAGGAAGTTCCCAGCCACATCAACCGCTTGCTCGCTATCGACGAAAAGATTGCGAAGGACAAACGTCAACGTATCGCCGACATCGTCAAAGATCCCAAGATCGCAGAAGCCCTAACCCCGTGGTATCCAACCTGGTGCAAGCGACCCTGCTTCCATGACGATTATCTGCCCACGTTCAACCTTCCCCACGTCCACCTCGTTGATACACTGCCCAATGGCATCGAACGGGGAACCAAAAACGGGCTTGTTGTCGGTGGAAAGGAATATCCTCTCGATGTTTTGGTGTTCAGCACCGGATACCGCGCGCCAGGCAAGGACCAACTCGAGCCAGGATCGGTGGCGAATATGAGTTTCATTGGACGCGACTATCTTACAATGTCAAAGAAATGGCAGACCAAGGGAGCGAGCACGCTTCACAGCTTTCAATCGCACAGCTTCCCGAATTTGTTCCTGGGCGGCTATGTCCAAATTGGCAACGGGCAGCATGCCACCTATATCATGGATCTCAAAGCCCAGCACATCGCGTATATACTCAGCGAGGCCCACAAGCGTGTCAAAGACACCTGTAGACTCACGGTGGAGGCTACCGAGGAGGCCGAAGACACATGGTCGGAAGACATTGCAAGGCATGCCGCCTGGTTCGCTGCCTATTCAATTTGCACCCCCGGTTTCTCCACCAATGAAGGAGAAGACTTAAAACCTCTGCCCCCACAGGAAGCACTTAGGAAGGCCAGAGGTGCACCGCACGCCCAAGGTTTGATCTATTTCAAAGATATCCTCAAGCGCTGGAGGGAGGCTGGGACATTAGAGGGTCTTATCATCAGCGAATGATAGAAATCTAGCTAGCGAGTCAGAAGATGCCTGGATGGAGCAGACTCGTGCTGTTCGGATGAGATTCCAATACATCATGTCGTTTCAACTAAGTTGGTATCGATCCCTCGTCGTCAAGCGCCGTCACAGGTACTAAGTAGGTTATGAGCACAGCCAGGCCGTTCAGCTTATGGCATACTATCTGATCTGGTCGCTACCTCGGCCCAGATGACCATGAGAAGCGTCCCCTGAGCCCCCTGCCGTCCAACGTAGCCGCTCCAGGCACTCGAGACTCATGATCCAGCTGCTGCTATCATTGGGGCCATGTCCTACACAGCTGGTCAGTTCGTCGACCGATACGGCGAAATTTAGTTTGGTCAGACCTACCACATAGAGGGTCCAAAGTTTCAATCGGGGCTCGGTATGAATCGTGGACTCATCTACCACCGCTCTCGCTGCGAGTGGGTTCTGCAGCGTTTTCCCATTGTCGAACTCGACGGTGAGTTCCCCGATCACCACAAAATCGTCACCCTTGGATGTCTGGCTGTACGCTCGTGAGATCTGGTGCCGCCGCTTGACGATCGGTCGGCCAGGCTTCGCTTTATTGCGACAATTGGTGATTTCTGCGACGGGGATTTCAGTAGAGCTCTGGGCAGCTTGTAGACAGAGATAACCACCTTCCGTGCCGACAAATTTATAACTTCCGTGGTCCAGCACGCCGTCGGGACTGAAGATCTCTGTAGCCATCCTGTAACCTGCATCGGTATGGCCGCTATCTCCAATCTCGAGCAGCTTTTCCACCAACGCTTGGAATGGCCTTGGTATTGGCAGATCTGGCCATGTCGTGCCAGCAGTCACGTAGCTCATTGCGCCCATCCTAGATGCAGCCTTTGCCGTCAGTACGATTGTGAGGTCCAGAGTCGTCTGAAATCTTGCCCATCCTCGAACAACGTGCTTCTCAGCTGCAGGAATCATAATTTCAACCTCTAAGCCAAAGCATGATTGGTCTCTCCCGACAGCCAGCCATCTCCATAGTGTTAGGATTTGGCATTTTAGCCGGTCTGAACCAAGCCCTGGCGGAAAACACAGGGGTCCGGGGCTCCGGGGCTCCGAATAACACGCTACCAGGTAACCCACGATAGCTCCCCACATCTGGGGATTCGTCTTCCCCGCTGGCGTTGACGACCATGTGCCTTTTTGTCCGCGATTTGTTTCTTATCTTCGTTATTCGCTTGACACTCACAAGGCTTTCTCCTTTAGGCACCGGAATCTCAACATGAGTGCCACGCTGCAGGATATGGCCTGCCCAGGCCAAACGCAGTCTGCGTCCAAGGCTCAGCGAGTCAGGCGACCGATAGCCTGTGACTATTGTCGCGCGAAAAAGGTCCGATGTATGTATCAGCCAGCTGCTAAATATAGCTAGTCATGAGGTCAAGGCTGAGGACACAAGGTAATTTCGAAAATGGAGATTCATGTTTCAACTGCCTCGATCGCGACCTGGTCTGCTCGAGGCCGTTTCGTTCTCGTCAGCGGAAAAGCAGCAAGCCACACCAGCACCGCCATGAATCTAGATCGCGAACGGATTGGATACGCGGGGTTTTGGAACCCTTTCAGCCTGATGACCATAGTCTAAACATCATATCTGCACCGAGAGCAGATTCACCATCTCAGTTGAAGGAGACCATGTTAGGTCTTAGGCATAGTGCTCCAGCAAACCTAGCAGGTGGCGTCAGCAGCAGGCTGCTTGAGACAAGCCGTCTGGAAGATCAAGCTTCCGCAGCGCCCGGCCGCGACAACAACATTGGTGTCCACCAGAATCCCTCGCAGGGCAACAAATCCAAGTTTGCGCGAAACATTCCAGGACAAGGTCAGTCTGGTCCGCTACAGCTGCCAGGCTTTCCGGAATCATCGGAGACAACAAACGCCATACACACACCGCTGTTTGTCTCTGACCAGCACAGCCTTAGTAGCTTGCAAAGTTCCGAGCCATCCCAGAGCAATACGGTGCAGACGGACCTGGATGAGGCCATGCAGAAAAGCAGTATCTGGTCGAGCAAGATGGTAAGTCAGATCAATGCGTGGACGTATCAGGGAGTTGTAGAGCTGAGCTTGCTGACTGCTAGTAGTCGAATTACCAGTACTCCGGTACATTTCCCTGTTCGCTCACCCAACCAAGGGTTGTAATAACTTGCAGTGCCAGGTCCGACATCGTTTATATCCATCTGTTCGACTGCAGGTATCCAATGGGTGTCTGAGCGGACCAAATCTTCCAGCTTCGTCAACTCTGCCAATGAGTTCACCGCCGGCATCACCCGGCTGCTGAAGATTGACAAACGGTTCCCGTCCACACCCATCAAGGAACCCGATGCCGCGACAGCTTTCCTTTACACTCGAGGTACTGTCTCACGCACTGATATTGACTACACCGGCATGGACCCAGGCTAACTCTGACGCGGGTCAGCTTATTTCAACGAGTCAATTGATGCTGACCTGGCTGTGGTGCATCGACCCTGGTTTGAGCAGCGATTGAACGAGTTCTACAGCTCTGGAGTGAAGGACGAAGACGCATCATGGTACGCTCTGAGGATGGCCGTCTTCGCGTGTGGGTGTCAGATTGAGCTTTCCAAGACGGAGAGCTTCCGCGAAGCCAATGAAACAGGCTGGCGCTATTTCGAGAATGCGCTGTCCGTCTACACCAACATCCTCTTCTATCAAACTTCGATCGTTGGCGTTCAGGCCTTGGTGGTAATGGTGAGTGCGAAGACAATCTGGGTCGATTTCCAGAAGCCTGACTTATTTAGTCGTATTATTGTTCAACTATCAGCCACGCCTGTCTCGAATATATGCTCTGCAACGATGCTGTCCGGCTGGCCGTAGCTCAGGGACTTCACCGACAACCGCCGCCTTCGTTGAATCTGACGCAGAGCGAGATTACACAGAGACAATGCATCTTTTGGGCAGCCTATTGCCTCGAAAAGCAGACTGTATGTCTTTCGGGACGTCACTCGGTATGTCACGGAGTATTTTCACCTCACCACGGAGCCACATTCATCTGTCACTGACCTTGATGCCTACAGATGATTGACGACAGCGACGTCACCGTGGAACTACCGACGGTGGTCTCTTCTGGCAGTACGCTGAACCTCAACTTCTCGAGATCCCTTATCCTAGTCACACACCTGTCGTCCATGGTATCAAAACAACTCACAGGCATGCAGGCCCTGCGGCAGGGGCTTGACTATCTTGCCATCATTGTCACCAAGTTGGACGAAAAGCTCGACGCACTCAAAAAGTCGCTTGAGCCTATCCTGGGTTTCAGCACGACGGCGAAAGCCGCACCGGTAACGTCAAATCTGACCGCAAACCAGGTTCTGTATCTTCGATATGCAATATTAAACGTTGCCCTGAGCATCCACACCACCCTGACACATCCATGGGCTCGATATCTGACCGCCCACCAAAAGCCGAGTGCCGAAGCCCAAGTTCAGATCGACAAATCGTTTCAAATCGTCGCCGAAACATGTCGAAGCGCTATCCGACTGGTCAGGCAGATCCAGTTCGACCTAAGTACTCCTGTATCGTAAGGCCTAGGATCCGGAAATTGGATTGAGCTGGGGGACCACTGACTGATGTTTCGTCGCAGAGTGAGCTTCTTCGGTCCGATAAACTCGGTGATCAACCTGTTCATTTTTATTCTGCAATCCCCTGAAGATCCCAACGTGCTCTCCGATCTAGCGCTGTTGGACTTCGGCGCCGGATATTTCGCTTGGATGCAGATCTGTACCGAGTCCAAGGTGTCCATCACCCTAGCCAAAGAGCTGGCTGCGCTGGCTCAGGGGTACCTGAGGGACTACAAGGAGAGCGGGAAGGGTCTCGTGACCCAGAGCCCTTCGTTGTCAAGAGGTACAGAGAGTAGTGATGGCCAGGAACGGCTCGACGAAGACGACATCCGCACGGTTCAGGCCCCCGATGCTCCGTCTCCGCCTCCGCAAGACTCGAGGGTCCTGGAATGCCTCCAGGATCTGCCACAGCCTGTTATGGACACACCACCCTTTGATATCGATTTGGAGTATTGGAGCACGTTTGTGCCAGATCTGTTTGATCAGTCGAGTGATTTTACTGGGATCCATGGGGTTCATGTGCCGACAGATTGAATCCGATGTCGTCATTGCCTGGGCGGGGCAAGGCTTTTTGCAGCGAGACTTGTTGCAAAACAGGATATGATTTCATGAAAGAGCGAGGACCATTTCATCCCATCGACTGCTACATGATCCGGAACGCTTGCGAAAGGCAGACCAAGTTTAGATTCAGAGTTGTGGCCATGCGGCCTAGCCATTTTACATTTGATCAGATGTATAGTCAATCTCCTGAAGCCACTCCAAGGCGAGGTCTTACTGTTGTGAATGTTTCACCCGCACTTGTCTCTGTCCACGTCTTTGGGGTTGTCAAGCCAATTAAAAATCGACCGGGAGCCCCCGAGGTCCGATTTCAGCTCGCTTCTTGATGTTCGCTTCAGTCTCGCCTTCGCTCAATCTTCTGATGTAGTTTTCCGGATCGAAGTCGACTCCTATCGGGTTCTCCGCAAACGATGGGGATGACATGAACTTTGTTGCCTCGTCCGGTCGGTCAAAGTTGTCCACCTGCGTCTCAATCTGGTTGCCATCAGGGTCACGGTAGTAGATAGAGGTCGTCGGACCATGGTTGACAGACCAGGCCGGGAGAATACCGTGTTTCTTCCTCTGACGATAGGCGAGTAGCAGTTCGGCAATCGTATCGAATGAGAACGCGGTGTGTTCGAGGCCACAGGTCTTGGGGTCCTTGTCTTTGGTTCCGGGAGCACCGATGATGGCGATTCGATGATGTTCCTCATCGTACGAGAGGAAGGCCAGGTATTCATTCTCGTGAACCACTTCAGCCCCCAGAAAGGTCTGGTAGTATTTGACCATTTCACCGAATTTGTTGGTCCGCAGCACCACGTGGGCGAGCTTGCTCGGTGAGATCACCTTGGCACCCTTCGCGTTGAAGTCGATCACCATTTTGTCGTCAGACACGGAAGACGGAGACTCGGGGTATATTGGTCCCTGGAGGAAATGCAACACGATTCCACAACCCCAAGGCTCGAGCCTGGGTCTGATAAATGTCGGTGGACGCAAAAAGGAGGGGTTGCGGTCAGTTGCTCCGGGGCCGATGCTTTCACCGGCATCAAGTGCATTCCCTGGCATTCGCCGGACAAAAGAGCATGGTGCGACTAGTGGTGCTATCATGTGAAGGCCTAGCAGGAAATCTGACGCAACATAGTGGCAGCATGGTACGGACTCGCGCTACAAGGACTCCAGGAACACTCGTTCTTGGAAGCCAGGCGCTCTCTCCATCGTCGATACCCCAACTTGGTGTGGAGTATGCATAACGCGAGATGGACATAGCTGCATGCCAGGTGATACCATGACTTATTCGTGCTTCTCTCAGCTTCTTGACCCGTCGACTTAGCTACTGGACAAGCCATGTCATCTAACCATCAAGCAATCTTATACAACTGATCTGTCCCTGTGCTTGCATCCAACTCCGTCATGGTTTTAATATCCCAATCATCAGGCTGGAAGTTGTCGGGAACATTGGTATTGCGGAACGGCTTGCCTTCCTTGATGTGCGCCATCACCTCGCCAAACCTTTCGTAGCCATATTGTTCGGCGTCAGCAGAGTACAGCCAATCTGGCTGAGGAATCTTGAGAAAGTCCGGCTCCCTCTTCACTCTCTCCCAGTCTGTCTGGTGCCACTTATGCCGCACTTCCCAGCCCATGCGTTGAGTCGTACTGGTCCTGTCACACCTGTACAGGTTGCCTTAGTCTTCCAGGCCTAGAACTTGGGTACCATCAGTCTTACCTGAGCTTTTGGAACGCACGGAGGGCCGAAGGTATATCGGAACGTCCGGCTCGGTCGACCAGAGATGCCAATGTCGCTCCATCTTCGACGCCCAT